TATCAGTCTCAGAAGTCACCCTCGATGTTCGCTTAATTTGTGTGTGTCTTCAAACATATATATGTGTGTGTGTGTGTGTGTGTGTGTAATTGTTTATGGGCTAATAACTAAATTAACCATTAGTTACAACAATCATTGTTGTACATATCACTTAATTTGTCTATTTGTATTCTATGCTTCTACATTTATTGTAACTTCACCACTACATGATGGTTATTTTACAACACTTAGTAAATTTTGACACATTTAATTTGTGTTCGAGTTGAACTTATATTTCAAAATGGGGGTTAAACTTAGCATGTTAAGTCATAAGATTGCAATAACTCAGTCATACAATTGTTAAGGTACAGATGGTTTAGGGTGTATATGGTTAGGGTATAAGGTATTAATGATTTTTACGGTTCTAAGTTTTTATTAACATATGTTCACTTGAAGTCATTTGAAGTCTTTAACTGCAGGAGATCCCTTTTTAATTTATGTTTATGGTACGTGGTTAGGGTACAGGGTATATAGTGTAGAGTATAGGTTATATGGTTAGGGTGTAGCAATTAGCAAATATCACTTTTTCATCTATGATTGGTCAATAATAGATCAACCCACAACCCGATCAACCCGCAACCCGACTAACCCGCCCGCTTGATCCGTATAAATAAATGACACACATATGATTGTTCAATAAAAGAAGGAATTCGATGAAGATAAACAAAAAGTTGACATTTGAAATCCTAGTTCACTAATATGATGATTTTGTTTTCCAACCTTATATAATAATATAATTTCACATAACATCATCAAATATTAGCTTAGTATAATAAGATACATCAGCAACCTAATAATGCATATAACATCATCAAATATTAATATAGTATAATAAGATACATCATCAACCTAATAGTGCACATAACATTATCTAATATTAGCTTAGCATAATAAGATACATCATGAGAAGTTTTAAAAATCCAAATATCATAGTTCACAAAAGTTTGATCATAACAAGAAGTTGGTAACGAGTAAGGACTAAGTTACTCGATGCACTGACCCTAGCAACTCGTAACCCGATCCGCCCGCAACCCGCCCAACCCAAAACCCGATGAACATGTAATAAGATTGTCGCAACCCGATTAAACCCGCATCCCGACAAGCTCGCAACCCGATGAACCCGCAACCTGTTTAAACCCTGCCCAAACCCGTCTGATTGACACCTATACTTGCAGTTGCACTTTTGCAGGACAAACCATGTTCCAAGTAGTAGGGCCCATCGTAAAAAAAAGTAGAAGGGCCTTTAGACCCAAAACTACTTCTCACTTGGGAACGAAGACGAGATCCCAAACAATTTGGGTAACTCTCGAGCACAATCCAGAAAAAATCCAAAACTACCACTGTTTTGAAAAAATTACAACAATACCACCCATTCCCAAGAATTTCCAAATATACCACTGTTTATTAAAAACCGCTCCACTCAGGGGCAGTTACGACAGAAATCGCCCACCCAGGCGGCCGTTTACCATAGAATCGCCTAGTCTAGAAGCGGTTTGCCTATTTTGGAAAAAAACGCTCTTCGAAGGAGCATTTTTTAAGGCTGCCCTAGCACAAACTGCTTCCTCAGGGAGCGGTTATGTGTCGGCATGGTAAAACGCTCCACAGGGAAGCGGTTTACCATGTCGACACATAAACCGCACCCCCCCCCCCAGCGGTTTGTGCCTCGTCACCCGACATCCGACAAGTCGGCATGCAGGAGGTTGTAGGGGTGGGGGCTGCATGCCAGACTAAAACCGCTCCCCCTGCGATTTTTAGTGTAAAATTTGCCTATAAAAGGCAGGTCCAGAAAACTCAAAATCTTCACTCCACTCCTTCTTCTTCTTCCAATTTTAGTTGTGCAGCTTTAAATTATTTAGTTTTTTGCGATTAACGTTAATTTGTAAGTTTATTTTGTATTACTTTTCATTGTCATTTGTGATTTTTATGTTAGTAACTTAATTACAGTTTTATTGTAGATGGCATTCCAAAGGTTCACGCTTGGGTTGCGGTGGAATGGTTACACGGAAGAGACCGAAAAGGGTGTAAGTTACGTGGGTGGCAATTTTTATAAGATGAAGGTCCGTACGAGACCGATGCTTGAAGAGCTCCATCAAATGTGCACTGAGGTTACCTGCATGGATGACACTAAAAAGAGTTGATCGTATGGTGTATCAATATCCAAACAGACATGGCGGGTCGCTGTGGAATGAGGAATTCCTCATTACCACTTAGGAGGACGTTGATGCCATGATCCAATTTTTGACCACCAATAAAAATTAAACAAGCGGAGATGTTCGTTTATACCGAGGCGGTCGAAGGCGGTGTAGGTCATTCTTGAGAAGGCCAAACATCTGATATCCACGGTGGGAGTGTATTATATGAAGATCATCCCCACTAGGAGTACCAAGACTCGAGCTGGAGGCAGGAGTATCATGATGGAAGTGGAGGTCATCATCAATCCTTCCCATCATATGAAGAGGAAGATCAACAGGCGGATGGAACCAACAAGCAAGCTACCAGTACCCACCCGAGTACAACTTCTACCAAAGCGGAGTTAGTTACCACAACTACCATTACGGAGCTGGTGAAGGTGAAGGTGCCTTTCATGATGATCTTCAAATGGAAGAAGAGGTAAATCCAAGTCCAGTTAGTGACCCTGAGGTTGAAGAAGAGGAAGGCGATGTCAGTGCAAACAGCTTCGATCCTCTTGAAGGTGCTGATGATTCTGGTCCAGATTCAGACGCAGACGGTGATGAGGTACCTCGCGACCGTGTACCTATCACATACTACAATCACATTTCAAATGAAGATTGGTATGTTGATGCCGACATGGACCCGCCAGAGGTGCCAGTATGGGGTCCACTCACTGGCTTTACAAAGGGCCAACAATTTGCAACGAAGAATGAGGTCAGGCACGCTATTGCCACTGAAGCAATGACTCGGAGTTTTAATGGCACACAACCCATTCCGACACAAAGAGGCTGATGGTTAGATGCAAAAATCAAAATGAGGGATGCAAAGCTAGGGTTCGGGCCATCAAAAGCAAGAGAGTCGGCCATTGGGTCATATACCGTGCGGTGAACACACACACATGTGTGTCATCAATAACATCCCAAGACCATCGACAGTTGAAGTCAAGGGTGGTTGTCGCGGCTATCAAACATCTAATTGAGGAGCAGCCCGACCTGAAGATTAAAACCATCATCACCGACATTTCTAGTCGTTATGGTTATATCATTAACTACAAGAAGGCTTGACATGGAAAATTGAAACCAATGGTCCTCGTGTTTGGTGACTCGGAAGAATCATATGCATTCCTTCCCATATTGATTTTGGCATTGGAGGTGTCTAACCCTGGCACCATTTTCTCTCCTCGCTACCAAGATGAAGAAATTCAGCCGTCGGTGCTTGGTAACAAGCATTGATTTACAATATAGAGAGTCTAAATAAGTGTTGTATTGTATTGATTTAAATTATTGAAAATAATCAATACGATTAACAATTAAGTAATTTATTGTACAAACAAATAAATTACATTAACAAAATAAAAATTACAAGTGATGATAAATAATATGTACCTTGTGGTCGTTCCAAACGTCTCTTGAACGATGATTGTATAGATCGAATAAAATAGTTGGATCAATCGGTCCTTGATCAACATAATATCGTTGATTGTATATATCAACATCCGGCCCAACCTACGATAGCATAACAACAACATAAATCAATTAGTATATAAATTAAATAAACCATTATAACAACAACAAAAATTGGGTAAAATGAGTATGTACCGCTTGATAATCATCATAGTAAATACCTCTTCTTGGATAAAATCGGCCATTTTTTCAGAATCCGGACAGAGATTCGATGGTTTTTCAGTGAAAATCAAAGAAATGTTTTTTGAAGGCAGATCGGACTTAGCCGCAACCAACAAAACAACTACTTCCAAGGTTTTTGGGTGGGGAGGGGGATGGGTAGATGAGAAACTTAGAGAGAGAGAGAGGAGATTGGGGGTTTGGTGTGCAGAAAATGAGAGGAAGGGGTGGGTTTATATAGGGAACGAACTGCATGCCGGAAGAGCGGCTTGGTCTTTTTACCCCACCAAAAACCGTGCCTCTAGCACACGTTTTACGTTTCCCAATGCACAAACCGCGCTTTAGGGCAACGGTTTCCCGTGGGCGGCAGGCGGTTAGGCCGTCAGATCGAATGCCCATCGTGCGGTTGCATGGACCGCCACGTGGAGACGCGTTTTGTCAGCTGCCCAATGGCAAACCGCCCCTTGCCCGCGCGTTTTGACTGAGAATCGTGCCTTCGAGGCGCGGTTTATGGAGGATTGTGTTATGTTTGGAAATTCTTGGGAATGGGTGGTATTTTTGTAATTTTTTTTAAAACAGTGGTAGTTTTGGATTTTTTCCACACAATCTGGCACCAAAATTTTCCAATAAGATTTTTTAGGTCATATTAATAATCTTTTTTTTTTTTTGTCAAGGTAAAGGCGTTCTATCATCTGGTATTGAACTAAAGAGTACTACAGCACAAAGACAAACAATTGAATCTAAACAGCATAGTGCATAACTAAGTTTATTTGCTCTAAATAACTGTATTTGAGGAGGGACGTTGGTGCGATTCCAAATTAAGTCAATGCTTTGACCCAATCACTTGCCGCGCTATTAAGGAAATCCCTCTGCCTCGTCACAATGTGGAGGATCGACAAATTTGGCATAGTACGGCCGATGGGCTTTTCACTGTTAAATCGGCTTACCATCTGGTATTTTTTGGATAAGAAAGGGGGTCGCTGGCGTTCAGAAGCTAGTTGGATGGATAGATCCAGTTGGATTAGGTTGTGGGAGGCTCCTATCCCACCCAAACTAAAAGTGCTTCTATAGCAAATTTTCAATCGTCTACTTCCCACGACGGAAGCTCTTCTCAAGAAAGATGTTCCTGTCCATCCCCGATGTCTGGTTTGCTGGGCGGAATTGAAACCTTGGAACATTTGTTTCTTGACTGCCCAGTGGCCAGTTCACTTTGGGACTATGCGACCCTGGAGTATCTTGGCTAAGAATTGCCGCGTCATACTTTCCCTCTGTTCCTCAAAAGATTGATGATGCTCCTTCACCAGCCCCAGTTGTTTATGGCAGTGGTTGATGTCCTTTGGCGGATATGGCGATCACGTAACTGGGTTGTCTTTGAAGGCAAGCAGTTTGGTTTACCAGCTTTAATGCGCCAATTCCACCAACAATATCAGGAGTGGGTGAATTTGCCTGTGGCCCGGCCTCCGGGGGGAGTAGTCCTGCCGGATCCGCCTATGGCGGGTGCTCACCATTCCCCGATAATCTGTAAATGGGATGGGGCTACCAAACTTGCGTCCCACTCGGCTGGGGGAATGGCTAGGGGGTTTAGTTTCTGGGAATTGATGATCCTTTGACTGCGGAGATGTTGTCCCTCCGTGAGGCAATTCTGTGGTGCCTTGCGTAAGGTTTTACGGAAGTCCGATTTGACGGGAATGCTAAGGTGATTATTGATAAAGTCAATCGATCAAACACCCAGGATAGTCGAATTGGAGCTCTTCTTGAGGAGGTTGTGCGATACTTGGATGCTCATAGTTGCCTTAGTGTGCGGTTTGTAGGTCGACGTAGTAATAGGGTAGCCCACTTGGTGGCTAGAAATGCCCTTCAATTGTACCCGACTGCGAGTCGTTTATTTGATTCCTTGGCCCGGTTAAACTCCAGGATGTAACTACCTCCCCCCAATACCTAGTTGGGCGTCCCTCATTAATAATTATATTCCACACCTAACAGCAGATAGAGAAACAAATTTAGATAGTCCAGGCGACACTACAAGAAACTTCGCTTTCTACGATGGAAATTCGTCGCAGAAAGGCCTAAAATTCGTCGCAGAAGCCTTCTGCAACGAGTTCTTCCGCTGCAAAAGTAAAAACCCTTCGTCGCCTATACAGCGTCGCAGAAAATTCCGCGATGAAAAAAACCGGTTCGTTGCAAGAAAAACCAAAATCGTCGCTGAAGGGCAATGATTTCGCAACGATCATTTCGTCGCAAAATGATCATTTTACGACGCCCATTGCACCGTTGCAGAAAATAAGGGAATTTTGCGACGGATAGTTCGTTGTAGAAAGATGGCCATTTTTTATGATTATTCACAATTTATTTTGGGTTAATTTTAGTATAGGTCACATTTTATCTCCGGGTTAATTTCATTTAGGTCATAATTTATTTTTCGTTTCATGTTCTAGTTCCTTCGTCAACATCAAATCTGCACCTCATCAATGAAAAAAATTCCATATTTGCTCAAAATACACTATCAATTCCTCATCCAAAATCCAGATCTGCAAGTCCGAATGCCAAACCTGCAAAATAATTAGAACAAAAATCAGATTTTGTAAATACAATAGAAAAACTAAAGAACTTTTTTGGGAAAACAATTTTATTATGACAATTATCACTACACATCTATATAATAAATTACAAAAAAATGTAGATCTGGTTTCTTACTTTCGCTTTTCTCGTCGGAAGAGCAGATCTGGTTCATCCGCCGGCGGTTGTAGCCGATTCACCACGGCCAGAGGCGAGACGTTGAACCATCGAGCTTCCTTCAACGCGGCTGGATGAGATTTGAGATCCGTCGAGCTTCATTCACCGCCTTCAACATCTGATGCCATTGGCGAACCCCATTTCTTATTCCCTCTTTTGAAAAGAAAACCCAGAATAAAAATGTCACAATCGCATTCTTGACCCAGAAACCCTCAAGAAAAACAGACATGCAGGCCAAATCTTACCCGGATCATCGCTTTTCCGATCAAGACGAGCCGATTTGCTGCTGTCAGATGCCAAAACCCATGCACTCTTTGATCTTTCTTCATCGCCATTGACACCCGAAGCACCGGTGACCCCTTTCATTATTTCTCCCACTGTATCTTTCTTCCACCGCCGTCGAGAAGAACACAGTCGGGCTGTCGATTTGGGAGAGAAATAGAGAATACGAGAGAGAGGAAAAAGAGAGAAGGAATAGAATGAGTTTGGGCGGCTAGGGTTTTCTAGCACTCTCCCACTTCCTTTATATACTAACCGTCTCTTTATTGTTTTTATTTAAATGATAAGTAAAAATATACTTAATGTGGATGCTGAGGTGGATTGTTGGTTAACGGTGTTATTGACGGTTACATATGAGTGGCTAAAATTTAGACATGTATAAAAGGTTTGGTTATTATTTTGTAGGGTTAATACCTTAGTTTGGCTCGAACTATAGACAAACTTTCTACTTTGGCCCGTGGTATCGGAAATTGCTATTCTGGCCTAAACTATGTAGCATACTTTCTTATTTGGCCCGTAGTCGGGTTTGACCGTCAAATTAGACGGTCAACCGAGTTGATCGTTAGTCAAGGTCCACCTCACTTGCCACATCAGCTATTAGGGAATAAAAAATTAATTTTGTATTTTGAATTTTTTTTACTTTCTAATAATAAAAATAATAAACAAAAAAATTATTAAAAAGCTCCCCAAATTATTTTTATTTAATTTTAGAAAGTAAACAAAACTAAAAAATTGAAAAAAATAATAATTTTTTATTCCTTGATAGCTGACGTGGCAAGTGAGGTGGACTTTGACTAACGGTCAACCGAGTTGACCGTCTAATTTGACGGTCAAACCCACCTCCGGGCCAAATAAGAAAGTATGCTACATAGTTTAGGCTAGAATAGCAATTTCCGATACCACGGGCCAAAGTAGAAAGTTTGTCTATAGTTCGGGCCAAACTAAGGTATTAACCCTACAAAATAATAGTCAAACCTTTTATACATGTCTAAATTTTAGCCACTCATATGTAACCGTCAATAGCACCGTTAACCAACAATCCACCTCAGCATCCACATTAGTATATTTTTACTTATCATTTAAATAAAAAAAATAAAAGAAATAATAATAACCAAACTTGTAGCGCAGATGCGGATAATCATCACCACCAGTCTATCACTGCCATCTTTCCTACACTTCAGTTGGCCATCTAAGATTCAAGTCAGCACAATATTCGCCAGCTCATCATCATTTAACGAAATTATTAATGGAGACTTAACGATTGGCTAATTATTAAGATTTCGAAAGGCTTGGCTGTAACACCCCACCCAGAAACTCTATGGTTGAACCCATGGTTCAACCGCGCAACCAAATCCTTGGTGTTACTGGTTGAACTCAATCATCTCAAACATCATCTCCGATTATTAAACACAAACATAAACCGTTATCATACAAACTCATTATTCGATCCCCAACCCACTTATTGAATTTTACAAATGTGGGTTATTATTGAAAACACTCAAAGCAGAAATCCTAGGTATCCATGACAGAACAGTGTTCCATACACTTACCCTCGCTCGAGCAAATCATCATCCGTGATGCTCATGCAACCACAACACTCAATCCGTGGTTTTTAACCACAACACTCATCCGTGGAGCTCATGCAACCACAACACTCAATCGCATAAGCGAGCTAAATCTACCCACTCTCAAGGGGTGAGGGTAAGTGCAGGCCCTTTCTACATCTACGTGAATTAATATGATCACGAATCAAACCATTTCCATTTTTCTCATCCGTCACAAACAATCTGGAATCAATGTAGTCTCACGGATTAACCAGTCCATATGTATATTTCCCGTCGATTATCAACTCAAAGTTTCACATAAATAATTTCATTCTCCAGTAAAGCTACTCAGCAGTACCATGTCACCATTCCTCATCCAAAATTCATCAACAATTTCACGAAATAGCGCCAACGCAAATAATTATAAATAACCCGGTTGCAGTTAAAAATATCCTTATCTCAAAATTCACTTTCCTTCATTAAAATCCTCACACAATTCATGTAAATGAATTTATTGACATAAAAATCCATTTATTCTAGTTCTGGTCATAAAAATAAATTTAGACAATAAAATATCAAAAATCTCGTATTAACCATTATTTTACGGTAACTTAAATTCCCACAAAACTGTAAATCCGAAAATCTCCCAAAAATCCAAGAACCTCCATTTATCATCCTAAACAGGTCTGTCTAGTTTTTATATTTTTCAACAGCTCAAAACCATGAAAATAATATTACACTCGTTCTTTACCGCAAATCTCGTATTAAGCTCATTTTTACCATTTTAAAGATAAAAACTCCACCAACTGTCTAATTTAACCTTTCCAGAGAACATTCCATTTAACAATCCATACTGACCATTTTAAAGTGATCCAAATCTTAAAGATAAATAAAACACGTTTTTACCGAGCTTTTCGTAAAATTCACTGTTATGCAGTTTTTAATCCGGAAACCATTTTCAAGTGAAATCTCTGTTCAATCTGCCCCAACATCATTTTATTCAAACAAAAATCTCTTAGATCAGTTTTAAACTCAATAAACCTAACTATCCATTTTTACGGTGAAACTTGTCAAATACCGATATTTACACCGTAAAATCCATAACAATCAAGAATAATCACCAAATCATCATATCAACAAATAATTTATCACCCACAGTAATCCATCCATCCAAATATGTAAATCAAGCATAAATAATTGATGTAATAATTAAGGTCCTCCTAATCCCCACACACCTTAATTTAGCCGATTCCAAGTCGGGAATTAAGTTCTAAAATTCCAGAGGTTGGCTCCTAAAAATTTTTACAGTGAAACTTTTCTTTTCTCTTCTTGGTGTTTGTACGAAGGCAAAAATGGAGAGCTAGCTTACCGGTATTATAGAGCTCTTTGATTCATGCTCTTACCTCTTCATTTACTTTCCAGCAGATGGAGTAAAGGCCTGGGGCGGCCTTATAAGGAGCAGTAGCTTTGAAAGGAAGAAACTCAAGTTCCAAAGCCGGCTCCATAAACAAGCTAGCTGCTGGTGCAATGCCTACGTCATTAGCACATTAATGACTCGGCTCCTTTTCTATCACGGAAACCAACGTAGTCTATTTGTTACATTGCTGAACCCTTCCTTTCTATCTAACAGGTCAGAGGTTCAATTCGTATAGCAAGCAGTTTATTTTTTTGTTGCACTTTTTGATGTTTTGGGGAGTTTTCAAGTGGTTTGGTTGATCCTACCTCGTATAGGATAACTTCTCGATTTTTTCCAGTCTCGAATCGTGCAACATACGTCCGCCACTTAAAAAAAAATTATCCGAGGTTCTGGATGTTACATTGGCTATTAATTTGGAATGGGGAAAATGTTTGGCTAAAAAATAGTATTTACCCAAATCATAAAATTTATCAAAGCACTTCAAATCCTTCGGTTAAAACCAATTCCAATTATCCTGGAAAATTCTTAGCTCCAAATATAAAATGTAAAATTAAGTCCAAATATAAGCCTTATGATAGATAATTAAGTCCAAATATAAAATTTCATGAAGCATTATACAATGACTACAAAAGGTCTCATAAATTCTCGAACATTCTGCGACGATAGGCCATCGTCGCAGAAAGCTCCCAAACATTTTGCGACAACGGGCTATCGTTGCAAAAAATCTACATACATTCTACGACGATGGACGATCGTCGCAGAAAGTCTACATACATTCTGCAACGACGGGCCATCGTCACAGAAAGTCTATATACATTATGCGACGATAGGCTATCGTCCAGAAAGCTCTCTAACATTCTGCGATGACGGCTATCGCCGCAGAAAATCTACATACATTCTGCGACGACAGGAAATCATCGCAGAAAGTCTACAAACATTCTGCGACGATAGATAACCGTCGCAGAAAACTCCCGAACATTCTGCGACGACGGGCTACCGTCGTAGAAAGTGTACATACATTCTGCGACGACAGACTATCCTCACAAAAAGATTTCACACCATTTGCAACGAAAAAGTGAAATTCGTTGCAAATTGTACACTTTCTGCGACGAATTTTCTTGCGTCGCTGTAGAATTCGTCGCAGAAAGTGCAGTTTCTTGTAGTGCGATGAAGCTTTAATCGATTTGCAAGAGGGGGATGAGATGTATGCATTTGAAACAAAGGCGTACTTTTAAATTTTTGGGATAGAGTTGGTTCTTGAAGTAAAAATATATCTCCCAATATCGATGTGCCTACTTTTAAAATTTTGGTTTCCCATTTTTTTTTCATTTCAATAAGGGGGTTTGATAAGGTTGCCAACCCATGTTAATCCGAACCAAGTGAATAAAACGGACACCACACACCCACCGGGTCCACCCGCTACAAGACTCTTGGGTTGGAGGTAACACAGTGTCATTTTTCTCTTTTGTTTGTGAATCGTGCCTCTGTTTTGGTTTTTCCCTTTGCTTAACATTACTTTCGGAATTCTAAATTGAACATTTGAATATTTATGTTATATGAGTGGGTTTGAATTTTCATTATATGTTGGTCCAAATACTTATTGTTATGTTGGTGTAATATTGTCCATATGTAGATGAGATTTTATATAATTTATAAATGTTTGAACTAGGGGTGGAGTTTGGTCGGTTCTGTTATAACAAAAAACGGGAAGGTTGGTTATCGGTTAAACCGAACCACCACCGATCGAAAAGAGGCCTTAAGGCTTCGGTTATCTCGGCTTTCGGTTAACCGAGCTGCCCTCAAGACCAAAAGCATCTCGCCCTCCCCTCCGAATACTGACCAATTTTTGGTTATCTCGGTTTTCAATTAGTGGATAACCGACTGATTTTGGTTGTAACCGGTCGGTTAACCGCTAACCGATTGTCCAGTCCTAGTTTGAACAATATAGTGACTTTTCATATACCCGGGCAAAAGTCGACTAAAATTATTGGACCATTAACCTTCAACCCACTTACTCGACCGGGCCAACGGGCTAAACCGGTTGACAACCTTTGATACTTCAAAATCAGGATATTCTAAAAAAAATTGGGTTCCAATTTTGATGATTGACTCAAATCGATCAATAATTGAGGACTTTCAGAAAGTTTGCTTGAAATTCAAATGTCGGTCTTCAAGCTTTTCCATGATAAACAAAAGATTTTGCGTTTAATTGTTGTTGTGTTGGAGGAAGAGAAAGTAGAACGGCTGGAGGATGAGATTATGGTTATTAATTATTTGGAGTTGTAGACGGAGAAGATAAACCATAAAAAGGGGCAAATTCAATTTGTCATTTCGACCGGTCCAACCGTGAATCGACCGCATTAATATAATTTTATCAGAAATTCTAACAAAGGGAATGTTTGATAATACATATATACTATATAGTACGATGACATGTCTGATGTGAAAAATAGTAGAGAGATAGATTTGAGAATAATGAATAATAGAGTGACAATTTATGTTGTTAACTCCACATGAAAGGTAAAAGATCGTATTGGACTATTGGTAGAGTAGAATTTAGGGTTTTATAATGTTTGGATTTGCTTAACTATTATGTGTGCATTAGTATCTAACACTTAAGATGTCAACTTATTAATCAAACAAGCATATACACTAAATTATAATAGTTTATAAAGTTAACATTATTTTTTTATGTTCTTCTATATTTGAGATTTCTAGACATAACCTTTTCGATGTTCTTTTTAATTTTTTATATACATTCAATTCCTACCAATTCTAAATGACACATATTTCCTTCTAACTCTAAATTCATATTCGACGATAAGAAGTCCAATTTTTTTTTTTTCCAAATATATGAAGAAGAAAAAAACATACACAACAGTAAACTAGGACGACTTAATAAAAAATACATATTAACTAACTACCACTAATGTCATAATCAACAAATACCATAAAAATTACTTTGAAATAACAAAATTAATCATTTCCAAAAAAATCTCAACTTACTGAAATATATGCAAAAATTGGACAGCAGAAAATAAAACAAAATTCAACCGAGTCGGGTAAAAACAAAATTTTAACAAGAGATTGAGAATAGAGGTCCCATTTGACAAAAACCTGAAGCGGGTGGTTGAAGCCCAATGTGGATGGAAGCAGACGTCCTTCATTGGATGCGTGTTTAGAAATTCCAAGAGAAATTGGATTGCGGACTTTGGGCCCGAGGAGATTGTCTCTTCATTATATGTGGGCTACATGTAGGTAGCCTTAAGCCTCTAGAGTAATCTACACATCCTCCATTAATATATGGTAGAGTTTTGTGTACTTTTCTCCATTTCAAATTTCCTCCAATGAGAGTGAAAGTAGGAAGGTCATTTTTGTCTTTACACATTTATTTATTTCATATAAAAATAGCAATATCAAGATTTGAACCCGGGTCTCTTCAAACAAAGATAACAATTACAACCAATTACACTAAACAAATTTATTGTATCCTTTTTGATACAAAACATAGATAAAGTTAATCTCTGAAAATCAGAGGACTTTTTCATCATAATTAGGAAGCTCACTAAGTCTACCGTATGTATTTTTATCGAGCTTGATACTTCTATTTTTATAGTAGAGTTTCATGTAATTTTCTCAATTTTAAATTCCCGCTCTCTCCTTAATTTTTGCTAAAGGTAAATGGCTAATTGGCTAACATGGAAGAAACTAATTATGTAACTACGTGTTGTATCCTTGCATTTTTCAATTTAAATTTTGTGATTTTTTATCTTTTTTCTTTTCTCTTTCTAACTTCCTCCGAAATTTCATCCTTCGTGCAATATTTTGCGCCTTTCACTTCCCAGTACAAGACTGTCATTGAAAATCAATCTTCAGGTATCTCTTGGCACTACGGTTTTATTGTTGGGGATTTTAAACTGGGCGAGTAGAAGATTTCAACTCCGATATCAATCCTTGGTGAATAGAATGGAGTTCATCAATAACTGGAGTTGTAGAAGGAGGATTAAAAATTGAATTTTTGGTTGAATATATGCCTCTTGAGATAGAAATTTGGTTGTACAACGGAGAGTGGTGGCTATTGGATCTTTAGGTTTATGGTTTTTACAATTGTCACAACCTATTTCTATCTTAAAACGAGGAATCATTGATTGATTGTTTGAAATAGGTCGCTTTCACTATTTTTTATTTTTAAATAGAAAGTTTAAAAGTAAAGAATAATTAGAATTTGGCATGGGTCAGTCAAACATGCTGAATTTCAAGTTTTGGCCCATTTTGATCAAGTCTAATTTATAATCACATGGTTCCCTGATACCCGATAAAAATCTCAATCCAAACCAGTTTGGCAGGTGAGTCTGTGTTTACCACCATTTTTTAGGGATACGACAACGGCGGTTCCTATCCCAAATCGTGTTGTTCGTTCTTGATTTTCTTAGATTTTATCATGGCCTAACAAAAATCAGAAAGCACAATGAAGACAAGATGAAAGTTCTATAAAGCAAATTAATCGACCAACGGGCCGAGTAAAAGCTAGCAACGATTGTGAGATGCTCATTTCCCGAAAACCGACGGGATAGGCGATTTTTTATTCAATTTTCTGGAATTCAGTTTCTATAAAACTTACTCCACCTCATCATATTACCAGAAACAATATTGTTTCACAATGTAACATGTACTTGATTTTGGTTCATAAGGCCGATTTTTTATTCATTGCATCATTCATGTCTCTATCCTGCTAAAATTCACTATTTTTATCACGAGTTTCCAAAAAAAAAACTATACAACAATAAGCTATACACCCCGTTAGATTATCAAATTTCATACTTCAACTTCCTCCGGCCACTTTGTCAAAAAAAAAAAAAAAACTTCCTCCGGCCAACTGGCCGGGGCCACGCTAGTATACTAATATGCAATTATTATGTATCTTCCTTGTGTACGGTGGCGCAATGGTATGGTTAAATAGATTCTCTTTTTTGGTAGAAAAAGAGATTATCTTTGTTCCTCACTAAAACAAAATAGAAACGAGTTGTAAAAGTATAGAACAGATATGGAAATGATACACAATATCACCGAGAATTTCATGTTCGGTTTGTTTATTAACAAGTCGAGTTTCGAACAAGCTTTTCTCGGGTCGAACGTCGAGCCGCTCGCGAGCAATTCGGCTCATTTGCAGCCTATGTACGGTGCAATGATATGGTTAAATAGATTCTCTTTTTTGGTAGAAAAAGAGATTATCTTTGTTCCTCACTAAAACAAAATAGAAACGAGTTGTAAAAGTATAGAACAGATATGGAAATGATGCACAATATCACCGAGAATCCCAATCAATTGTCAAATCCGAACAGACAGCAAAATCTGGACCCGAAACCCTACTGTAGCAAACAGAGTAGGAAACCGAAACAATAATAGAAAAAACAAAAGCCTAACAATTTACTGATTCCTATCTTTATTTATACTCATGGCAAACGATTGATCGGCAGAGACACGCGCTAATGTTCAGCAGGTCTATCTCTTCTCTGCCTACGGCTCGCAGAAGCTCGCTCGCTCACTTGGACGGTGGGAAGAAAATCTCATCAGAAGTCCTAGTTCCCCTGAACTTCTTCTCAACCTCCGACGACACCTTGAAAGACGCCTCCAGCACCGCCGGCGACAGTGCCTTCCACACCGAGGTCCGTCCAGCCAAGTGGGTGAAAATCGGGCTGCAAGAAAAGAACCCAAATTAAGGGATTGGATCGTCCAATTCGTTAGACAAATTGAGTGAAGGGAATGGAAGAACTTACTTTGGAGTGGTGATGATTGAGAACCAAGACATTCCATCAGGATCGCAGATCTTCGAAACAACAAAGAACCTGGGTACAATGAACAATTGGCCAGCCTTGACGGTAGTCTCCAACACCCTCTTGCCATCCACACCCACAACCTGGACCCTGCCGCTTCCACTCACAATGTAAGTCACCTGCAAGGCAGAATCACAAGAGAAACCAGGGGAGCACATGGCGCCACCATCCAGCTTCACGAGATCGGCACCAAGCCCAATCTCGGCAACCAAGGGGAGGTTCTTGGTGTTAAGCACCACCACCCTTCCTCCGTTCTTGATGTCTACATCAAGAGGAGCCTCCTCGCAGTTGTAGACCAGGCGGTCACGGTCCTCCTTTTTCGGGTCGGGGAGCTTAATCGAACCATCGAGCTTGACGATCCCTTTTCCGGATTGGCTGCCAACGAGCGCCTTGACGGTGCTCTCGTCCACATCCCACGCCCGAGAAACAAACTCGCTGGAGAAGCCGGTGAAGATGCCGTTGGTCCCTGTGAGGTAGAAATCGGTGAAGGAACCTGCATTGTGGCCCTTCGAGGTGTCGCCCAAGAACAGGACGACCAGCTCAGCGTCTTCCTTGTTGTACCACCAGGTCACCGCGCCGAAAGGGAGCGCAATGGCGTCACCCTTCCTGATCCCGATCACCTTCTCGTCCTTCTCCGGGAGAACAATTCCGGCCACTCCATTACCTGCAATAAAACAGCACACCCCAACAACAACAACAACAACAACAACAACAACAAAAGACGATTAAATCCACATTCCAATCTGGATCAAAATTCAATTCAAGTTCTAGCAGATCAAATCAATCAAAATCCAGAACGGTTGGGTAAAGGTGGGAAAATCGGCTAATCGAATTGCAATTTGACGGATTGGTGGGAGGAATCGACATAATTAACGGACATGCAAGCAAACTAGAACAAAATGAAGATCTGAAGGAGCAAAAAGGAGTGGGGAAAAGGAGGAGGAAACCGACCTTGGAGAACATAGGCGACCTTAGCGGAATCGGAATAGCGAGGGAGAGCAAGTCCGTTCTTCTGAAGGCCGAGCTTGGCGGCGCCGATGTTGCCGCGCTTGAGCATGCCGAGGTCATCGGGGCACCAGGCTTGGTAGGAGCCACCGTCGCCTCCGCAGACATTCTTGGGGAGCTTTGGGGTCAGATCAACATCCATGGTTTCCTCGCGTTTTCTGGTCAACTAAGAATGGGGAAGAGAGGGGGAAAACGTGGTTTGGTTGAGTGAGTGAATGTGAGAGGGAAAGCGGTGAGACCCGATTATATATATAGTGAGGCGAGGAGAGAGGAAGAGGAAGAGGAAGAGGATAACGACTGGATTAAGAGTGTTGTTTTCTTTGGGTAGGAGACTGGGAAGTAATATAGTTAATTAATTAATTACGTAATTGCTAATTGGAGAGAGAGTCCTAATAATAATGGGTCACGTAATTTGTGTGGGCTGGGAGGTTAACCCGGGAAATCTCGGTTTTCGGGTTTCGGAGGAAAAAGCATCGTTCTTGTGGGACAGAGAGTGCCACGTGGCGCAACGGGAAAGAAGCGGGGCCGGGCTGCTTTGTTTGGCTTTGGCGTTATTATGGTTTTTACTTTTTATTATGGAGGAAGGGGAAATTGGACCGTGGGCCGGAAGGTACCAAAAACTGGGATTAAATCCTTTTTAGGAGCGGGGCTTATCTAAATCTAAGTATTCTGTCTTATCGGCCACGATGATAATATTATTTCCATTTCTTTTAATCAGGAGTCTCATTTAGTTAAGATGCCTAATTTAATTAGAATTGAGAACTCATCCTAACCTTCTTTTACTATCGGTCCTATATCCATTGAAGATAATGCGGATAATGAGATAATAAAACAACGAATAATGCGGGAAAAAACAACGTATAATGTTTTGGTATTAAATTATTCGAACTAATAGAAAAACTGTTTCTTTTATAATATATTATTATAAAAGAATGGATGGTGTTAGTATCTATTTTGACCAACCTCAAAATCATCAATTCATCTCAAGAAAAGGATAGTTAACAAAATGCACAAAAGTCAAAAGATCATCTACTTTATTTAAAAAATGAACTCTTTAAAAGAACGAGAAAATCACTATTTCATAAATTCACATCACAAGTGGTGCTATTTTTGTATTTATACAAAGCTAGGTGGTTTTTTTTTTGCTATTAAGGCTCTAGTTAATTTTCTTATGATAATTGAACCTGATTTCAACCCAAATTAATGGGTACTGGACCTAATTCAAACCGGTTAAAGCGAGTTGAATTCGGTGTTGACAAACTATTGTGTCGACAACGAGTTTTGCACGTTTAAAGGGTGCATTTTTGTAATTAACCAAAACTTGGAGATGTTTTGGGCCATTAAACTTCTAATTAATTTTCTTATCACAATTGAATCCAATTTCAACCCAAATCAATAGGTATTCACGCTAATTTGATACGGTTAACGTGAGTTGAACCTGGTGTTGATGAATTTTGTGTCGACATCACAAGGGGTGCTCTTTTTGTAATTAACCAAAATATGGAAGTATTTTTGTGCCATTAAGGTTCTAATTAATTTTCTTATAGCAATTGAACCCAATTTCAACCCAAATCAGTAGATATTCGACCTAATTCGACCCGGTTAAAGCAAGTTGAACCCGATGTTGACAAACTATTGTGTCGACAACAAGTTTTGCACGTTCAATGGGTGTCGTTTTGTAATTAACCAAAATTTGGAGGCGTTTTGTGCCATTAAGCTTCTAATTAATTTTCTTATAACAATTGAACCCGACTTCAACCCAAATCAATGGGTATTCACCCTAATTTCACCTGGTTAAAGCGAGTTGAACCCAGTGTTGATGAATTTTGTGTCAAAAACGAGTTTTACACATTTAAATCAATTAAATCTTTTTGTAATTAACCAAAGCTTTGCGGTGTTTTGTGCCATTAGGGTTCTAATTAATTAACTTATGTCAATTAAACTCAATTTCACCCCAAATCAATGGGTTTGCGACCTAATTCGACCCGATTAAAGCAAGTTGAACCCGGTGTTGACAAATTTTGTGTCAACAACGAGTTTTACACGCTTAAATCAATGGATGTTGGACCTAATGTCAACCCGGTTAAAGTGAGTTGTACCTGGTGTTGACGAATTTGAGTCGGGGATGGCTTTACATGCTTTTGTAATTGTCGGGTTGTACCCGAAAATTACAGTTTCATTACTTTGTTATCATTTTATGAGTTGTACTCGACAACGAGTTTTACTTGCTTAAATCAATGGCTATTTGTCTTAATTCGACACGATTAAAGCGAGTTGAACTCAATGTTAAAGTGAGTTGAACTCAATGGATATTTGACCTGATTGGATCGTGAACAAGTTTAGCACGCTTTTGTAATAGCCGAGTTGGGTCGGTTTGAATTTGTTAAAAACTCGCCCCACTTGCCTTTGCTGTCGTTTAGCCGAGTTGGGTCGGTTTGAATTTGTTAAAAACTCGCCCCACTTGCCTTTGCCGTCGTTTTAAACTTCCATTATTTTTCCTTTTTATTAGCATTATTGACGAATTTTAGGTCGACAATGAGTTTTACACGGATTTTGGGTTTTCTAACTAATTCTTTTAACGACAATTGAACCCAAATAGTATTCGATCTAACTCGACCTGTTGTTGACAAATTTTGTGGAAGTTTGAAGGATTATTTGGAAAATGCTTGCTTCTTCATTTTTGTTTTATTATTTATTCCCACATGCCAAAAACAAAACAATCGACCCGGTCAAAACGGATTGAACCTGGTGTTGATGAGTTTTGGATGAGGACCAAAGTTTACTCGCATTCACGATTTGGTGGGAGTTTGAAGGATTATTTGAGAAAGTCTTGCTTCTTTGTTTTTTTTTTTCATTTTTCTTTTCAAAAAACTATTTCGTTGAGTCACATGACCATTTTTTGCTCGCTACTCGGGAGATGGGTCTATAGGGCCGCCGTGCTGTCTTCGAATTAAGCTGGCGGAATCAGATCGACGACGATTGGTGCAAGGAATCGTCGCAGGGTCATGCCCACGGAACGGGCAGGACCGTATTCCCAACCAAGAACGGGATCGGTGGCCGCCTCCTTGATGTCGCGACCTCTACGCCGGATAAGACTGCTCGGAGGGTGGAATGGCGCAGAGCGCAGCGGCGCTGCCTGATGAAGCGATCGTGGTGGTCGTCTTTTGAGGAGATTGGGGTCCCTGAGGAACGCCCACTTAAGAGACGACGGAAGCAACCAAAAGTTCTATGGCGGTTCTGCCTCCCTCATTCGTCAGAATTGGATGGGGAGGAATCCGCTCTAACCCTGTTCGCGGGGGAGAATACACAAATTTCAGAGGCTAGGAGTGAGCACCCTGCTCCTCCTGATGACCTAGCTCAATCGATTCCCTTCGGGGAGGGGATTTGTCTCGAACAATCAAAATGGGGGAGGTCCGATTGTAAAACCCCCTTGGGAGCTGTGGCACCCGTCGTATCGCCCGGAATTAGGACAACGGCGATCCAAGCTACTCATTTCAATCCAAGCGGCGCCGAGGTAAGGAGGGACGGCGGATGGGCGATTGCCAGTCTCCGACGCCTGATGGTGTGGCCACGGAAAAGTAGGACTCTGCCGATTAGGTCGGTTCCGGAGATCCCTGGTTTGCGGTGCGGGATTCTCGGAATTAATTTCCGCTTTCGAAATAATAAACGTATCCCGCGGCAGATGCATCCTTCTCCTATTCAAACTCTTCTTGATAACAATCTCTGGGAATTACGTTTCTTCCTGGGAAGCTCGGGGTTTTTACCCTATAAAAAATCCCCTACCAATAGATAAACTGCCATTGTGCAGTGAGCAGAGTTGGGAAATTTCTCCAAAGGCGAAACCTGCAAGTAGACTCAGCCAACAGTGGTCGGCCGCAGTGCTTGTGTCAGGTAAGGGATTTCGATCTCCCCTTTCTTCTGTTGGCGTGGTTGCAACCGGCTGCTCTGCCCTCGAAAATTTCCTTTCCCAGCTGAAGGCGTTTGGGAGGCCGCCGACGGGAGCAGTTGTGGATTCGGGGGTTCCGGATGCCCCCAATAAGCTCGTCTCTATTGATAGGGACAGCCTTGCCTTCGGGCAGTTTAATTCTTTTTCTATAACCATGGGGATGCAATCAAACGATTGATGCTTCGGCTATCTGATAACGATGTAATTGCACGTATTTGCACCTCTAATTCTTATCCGTTTGAGAGGTATAGTCGTGTATTTTGGCATATTTTACGCCGGGTTGTGCTATTTTGTCATATTTCAGGTCCCAGGCGTCAAAGGAAAGGCTAAGCACGAGTTTCAGGGCATTCAGAAGTCATTTCGTCGAGCTGGAACCAAAACACGAGCAGACCTAAAACAGAACACGGCCGTGTTCTGTGGCCGTGCTTTTACTGCCGAGAGCAAATTCGAGTTGGCAAACATTGGCTAAAAACACGGGCAGGGCTTAGACAAAGCACGGTCGTGGCCACCAAAGCACGGCCGTGTCCATCATCAAACACGCCCGTGTTTCTCCCAATGCACTGGCCGTGTAATTAACCCTAGCCAAAGCACGGGCGGGCTGAGGCATTACACGGCCGTGCCCTCGACCGTGCTTTGGCCACTGATGCCCTTTTAAGCAGATTTTCAGCCAAAGAGAAGAGGATTCGAGTTTTGAGAGAGATAGAACGATTCCTAGAGAGAGAAAGCGACGAACAAGAGTCTCCAAGTGCCATAGATTGATCTTCAACACCATTGGAGGTCAGTTTGAGCTTGGAGAAGTGCCGATCAACGTCCAGGAGCAGGAATCCATCCTTCACAGTATGAATTCCGCGTCTGATTCTGCTTTTGCCTCTTTCTCCATGGAGTAGTTCTCCCATTCATCTGGGTATGGAGAACCCTAGATTTGTATGTTAGGTTTGATTGTATGAACCCAAGTACTGATTCTATGATTTGATTATATTCAATTGAGGTTTGATTGATTGAATGACATGAATCCTGATCAAATTCCTGTTGTTTCTGCTTTGACCTAGAATAAGAATATCTGCCTAGGTTGATAGAGCATCCTTGATTGAAGATAGGGAGTTGGTGACTTTAGTCGAGGAGCCAACTCACTATTCTGTGTCGGATTCACTTCGGTAGTGGAGGTTTTGTTCATAGGGCCTCAATCTGTTTACTCCGGTGGAGGTTAGTCGCCCGCTAGAGACTCAGATTGAGAGGGTCTGAAGACCTTTAGTCGAGACTTCAGGCTGTTT